GTTCCCCTCCGGTGCTGTACGTAGACAACAAGGCCATGCCAGCCTTGTGTCGGAAGCAGCGCATGGAGCATAGAACGAAGCACATTGCTCTCCGCTACTTTCTTGCTCGTGAGTTGCAGCAGCGTGGTCAGTTGCGACTTGCGTACGTGGCCTCTGAGGCCAACATTGCTGATGTTTTCACCAAGGCACTTGCGCCTTGTGATCATCAGCGCTTCTGTACTCAGCTTGGTCTTGTGCCTGTCTTGCCTTACTTGCTCACCTCTTGACCTTGCTTGTACTGTTACATATATATAGACCTGCTCTTGCTTGTCTAGCTTTCTTTATATATGTACTCAAACATGTGAACTGGCCTTGTGGCCTTGAACTTGTGCTCGGAATGTGTGGTGACTTTGTGATCCACCCTAAGCTTGCTTTGCTTTGCTTTGCTTGACTGGTCTTGTGACCGCTTGTTCTCCCCCACTTTGCCTATGGGGGTGTGTCAGAACATTATAGCTTATGATTTTGTGTAGGCTGTAGTGGGGTAGCCCATATGGGGTACAACCCAATTAGAGTTAGTACTTGTACCCAACTGTTTCATAGTTCATTCATTCTAGTTCTCATCTTCTCACCCTGCTTTTCCTCCTCCGTCTCCCGCTGCTGCAGCTGCCGTTGAGGAGGGTGGGTGTGTGGGAGACGAAGGAGTGGTGCTAGGGGGGTGACATGTGAGTGACCCTAGGGGTGCAGTAGGGTGTGTGTGAAATGGGGGTGGGATAGTTTGGGGAGGTTGAAGGGGGTGGCCGCCGAGAAGCCAGCAGCTCCAGTCGCCCTTGAGATTGTTGCGTCAGTCGCCCGTGAGCCCGTTGCGCCAGTCGCCCGTGAGCCCGTTGCTCCAGTCGCCCGTGAGTCCGTTGCTCGTCTGCCGCTACTTTTAGCCGCGGAGCCAGTTACTCCAGTAACCCGTGTGCCAGTTGCTCCAGTTGCCAGTGTGCCAGTTGCTCCAGTTGCCCGTGTGCCAGTTGCTCCAGTTGCGCCGTGTGCCAGCAGCTTCAGCTGCCGCCCATTACCTCCTCTCCTCTCATAGTCCCTCCTCCTCCACACTAGCCCTCTGCGATAGCCTCTAGCTTTGCTCATAATTGTGAACTTTAAACTATTGCTTCTTGAACTTGTGCTCAGAATGTGTGGTGACATTGTGATCCACCCTGAGCTTGTCCTGCTTTGCTTGCTCTGCTGATTACACCCCACTTTGGCTGTGGGGGTGTGTCAGAATATTATGCTCTAGCCTGTAGTGGGGTGCTTTATAGCGAGTACAACCCTTCTAGGGTTTGCTATTTGTATCCTCATTCTTGCTAGTGCAACCCCCTCTTCTTTCATTTCTCTTTCGTGTACCGTAAACCTAGCCATGGCTTCTTAGCCTTAGCTACTATTTTGACATGGACCGTGCATCAACGTTGTCGCGAGACGAATTTTCTCGCCGTCGTACTCCGTCGTCGACCATCCGATCGCCGCGAAATATATTTCCATCGTCGCGAGCCACCGCCTGACGTCGGATTTTCGATCGCTAGGGTCGAACAATTCCGGCGATTTCAGAACCTCGAACTAACGCTGCGACTGCTGCGAAGTCGTCGAAGCAGGAATGTTCATGGTTGAAAGGAGCTGCGTAACGCGCTGCAGTTCGTTTCGCAGCTACTCGTTCTCCAATCGCGACGGTTCAGTCGTCGCTCGCATCTCCGCTTCCATCTTGGCGATTTGCGCGAAGAGCTGCCGCGTAACGTCGTTGGTCACCGGCGAACCCATCCTGTTCAGAAACCACGCAAGGGGGTTAATTCGAAAAGCGCGGAACTGGTGCTTACCAGAAATCGGCGTCGAATTGGTCGCCCCTGGCGGTTTTTCGAGGCGATTTTTTCCGCGACCGCTGCTTAGCCAAGAGTCGTCGAGTGAGAACGGCTCTCATTACCAAGTGTCACAGGATCGAATTCTCAATCGAAACTTGTCACTAAAACTGAATACAAGGCATTTTTTTACTCGGAAAATACAAGGATAAACGAGATAAAACGAACCTTCGGGAACACGCCCTTCCCGATACTACAATCACAAGTGCGCACAAGCACGCAAGGCTATTGGCACTTGGGATTACGCCCAGATTACACCGTATACACCACTGTCGGCGCTGTCGGTGCCGTATAATAGGTATGTCGGTGGGAAAAGTAGGAAATAAGAGAAATAAATTGAAGGCTCTAGAAAATAGAATAGTAGGCCGATTGAGAAGAGATAAAGACCAAAATAAAGAGGAGAAAAGGGAGAATAGGATAACGGAAAAATATAATAGTGAGCAAATATTATAACGGGGACGTCCTCTCACACTGTGGACACTCTAAGGAAGGAGCAGGACCAAGAGAGGGCGGGAGACCAAGAACCTGCTCCAGGAGCGGAACGAAGTACGGCCTCGGTCGCTCAGCGCCTCCAGAACCAGCAAGGACGGCACCTTTACCCCCAGCGACAGCACCAGCGTCAGCAGCACCTCCAGCTCCAACAGCGCCAACTCCTGCACCCTCAGAAGCACCAGCGCCAGCAGCACCGCCAGCGCCAACACCGCCAGTAGCTCCAGCTCCAGCAGCACCAACTCTAGTAGGACCGTCAGCACCAGCAGCCTCAGCAGCACCCCCAGACGCACCAGCGCCAGTAGAAACACCAGCACCAACACCCCCAGCAGCTCCAGCTCCAGCAGCACTAGTACCGTCAGCAGCTCCAGCAGGACCAACTCCAGTAGCCCCAGCAGCACCCCTTGTCTCAGCAGCACGTCTCCAGCGGCGGGCAAACCACTCGCGCAGCTCCTGTGGAGAGAGTGGCTCCCGCCTCGACGAAGCACCACCAGCGGCCACACGAGCAGACCCAGCGCCCCAGGCTCGGCACCCCCAAGCTCCGCACCTCCAGGCTCTGCACCCCCAGGCTCCGCACCCCCACACCCAGCACCCCCAGGCTCAGCACCCCCAGACACAGCACCCCCAAACTCCGCACCCCCAGGCTCAGCACCCCTAGTCTCAGCACCCCCAGACCCGGCACCCGCAGGCTCAGCACCTCTAGCAGCACCAGAGTCAACAGCTACCTCGACAGGCTCGACTGCGTCTACCTGGGACACACCTGACGGGGCAGGACCCTGAGGGGGGAGGGGGTCTACCGGGGGAGGACCTGGTGCAAGGAAGAGCGGAGGCGGAGTGAGGGACGCTGTGCGGTAGGGGAAGAGACGGTAGTAAGGCACCGACTCGTCAAAGGTGACGTCTTGGGAGGAAAGAACACGGCGCGAGGTGGGGTGGTAAAACTGCCACCCAGGCGCCACAGATGTAGAGCTTATACATCTGTGTAGGCTGTAGTGGGGTAGCCCATAAGGAGTACAACCCAATTAGGGTTAGTACATGTACCCAACTGTTTCATAGTTCAATCATTCTCGTTCTAATTGTCACAAGGTATGGAGCAGGTTCCCCCGTGGGAACTGTTCCTAGGGCCCACCGACCTTTTTTCTTTTTTTTTTCCTGCCCGGAGCGCGCTTGGCCCCTGCCCGAGTCGCGCCCCGTGTGACTCCCCTTCGTGGCCTCTAGCGGCCTCCCTCACGGCCCCTAGTGGCCCCGTCGCGTCGTCCTCACGGCCCCGTCGCGCCGCCCTTGCGGCCCTCTTCGCACCGCCCTCGCGGCCCCTTTCCGCGGCCCCGTCGCCGCCCTTTCAGCGGCCCCGTCGCCGTCCTTTTAGCGGCTCTGTCGCCGCCCTTCCACGGCCTCGCCGCCCGCCCTTGCAGCGGCCCCGTTGCCGCCCTTCCGCGGCCCCGACGCCGCCCTTCCGCGGCCCCGTCGCCGCCCTTCCGCGGCCCCGACGCCGCCCTTCCGCGGCCCCGTCGCCGCCCTCTAGCGGCCCCGTGGCCGCCCGTCCGCGGCCCCGTCGCCGCCCCTAACTGCGGCCCCGTTGCCGCCCTTTCAGCGGCCCCGTCGCCGCCCGCCCTTTCAGCGGCCCCGTCACCGCCCTTCTGTGGCCCCGTCGCCGCCCTTCAGCGGCCCCGTCGCCACCCTTCCGTGGCCCCGTCGCCGCCCTTTCAGCGGCCAGTCGCCGCCCTTTCAATGGCCCGTCGCTGCCCTTTCAGCGGCCCCGTCGCCGCCCTTCCGCGGCCCCGTCGCCACTCAGCCGCCCAGCGCCAGAGCCGCCGAGCCGCACAGCCGCCGAGCAGCCGAGCCGCCGAGCAGCCGAGCCGCCGAGCAGCCGAGCCGCCGAGCAGCCGAGCCGCCCTGCAGCCGAGCCGCCCGACCGCCGAGCCTCCCTACAGCCGAGCTACTTGACCGCCGAGCCGCCCAGCAGCCGAGCCGCCGAGCCGCCCCGCAGCCGAGGCGGTGTCGCCTGTCAGCCTACCCAGGACAGCCCCACTTGCGTGGTAAGAGCAGCGCCTCTACCACTGCACTGCCCTGCCCCACTGTACTCACTGCCTGTCTATTGCTGTCATGGCCTCCCCTAGTGTTCTCACTTTTGACGCTGAGGGTTGGGCAGTTGACTTTGAGGTCTGGGTAGATGATCTGTAGCTTATCCTACAGTGCGATAGGGCAGACGGTCTCTCCCTGTTTGACCTCACTTCTAGTGCCTCTTTTGCCCCTGCTGCTGATGCTGACGCCACTGTTCGCTCACAGTGGGCCACGCGCGATGCTGCTACTCGCCTTGCTGTGCGCCGCCACTTACCGACCACTGAGCGTGCACACTTTAGCCAGTACAAGAGTGCTCAGACCTTGTACGACGCTGTAGTTGCACGCTACTCTTCCCCTTCCACTGCTGCACTAAGCCGCCTTTTGCTACCGTACCTCTTCCCTGACCTTGCTGCCTAACCCACAGTCGCTGACCTCATTACGCACCTCCGCACTAGTGACACTCGCTACCGCGCTGCGCTTCCTGCTGAGTTCTGCGCCAAGAACCCCCCCCCCATGTACATCACCCTCTACTACATAGTCACCCGGCTCCCTGACTCTCTCCGCGTAGTCAGGGACCACTTCCTCTCAGTTTGCCCCACCACTCTCACAGAGCTGGTGTGACCCTGTCCCCTCACCAGCTCTGTGAGTGGTACACTGCGCGCCAGCGCGGTGGGGGTTTTGGTCCGTGCACTTACGTCCTCCGTACCGGTGACCGAGCTGGTGAGCAGTGCGGGGGCCCGCACTCCACCCAGCGCTGCTTCAGTCGCCTAACGGACGCGTGGCGTCGCCAGTTCCTTGAGGCGTCAAAGATCCCTCGCTAGGGTGATCTGTCTAGGGCGAGGGTTGCCGTCTTTAATCTTGACTATGATACTATCCTTGCTGCCATGTATTCTGTGACTACTAGTGTTGAGGGTGACTGTTACCTGTGTATACCGCCTGACCCGGGCATTGAGGCCACTGCTCTAGGAGCTGATGAGGCTGCTGCTCTAGGTGCTAGTGCGTCTGCTGCCCCAGGTGCCAGTGCGTCTGCTGCCCCAGTTGCCAGTGCGTCTGCCGCCCCAGGTGCTGGTGAGTCTGCTCTCTCAGGTACTACGTCGGCTCAGGCCTTCCACACCTTCGCCCTTGACTCGGGTGCGTCCCGCTCCTTCTTTCGAGACCGCACCACTCTTACGCCGCTCAGTCGGCCGGTTGCAGTCTCCCTGGCAGACCCCTTTGGGGGTCCTGTCCTTGCTAGCTTCTCCACTGTCCTACCGTGCCCGGCAGCCCCCTCTGGCACCCTGTCTGGTCTCTACCTCCCCTCGTTCTCTACGAACTTGGTGAGTGGAGCGGACCTACAGGATACGGGGGTTGACTAGTTCACTCCTGCGAGTCAGCGAGTGACCCACTGCACGTGTGCTCGGACAGGGCGACACTTGGCCACGTTCACCCGTCGGCCAGGGTCGAGCCTGTACACCCTTACTACTGAGTCTGCCCAGGTAGCTGCGTCGAGTCAGGTGTTTGCTGCGGCGTCCAGGTCTGGTCCTGAGTCTGCCCCCTGCTCGTGTCGTCTGCTGTCCCACCAGACTCTCCTTTGGCACCACCGCCTTGGTCACCCCTCCTTGCCTCGTCTCCGAGGCATGGCCTCCCGTGTCCTTGTCTCTGGTCTCCCTCGGTCTCTCCCTTCCCTTCTTGCTTGGCCTGGCCCTACCTGCGTCCCCTGCGTCGAGGGGCGACAGCGCGCCGCCCCTCACTCCTCCGAGTTTCCTCCGGCAGAGGCTCCGCTGCAGACTCTCCACATGGACGTGTGGGGCCCCGCCCGCGTCAGTGGGCAGGGGCGCGAGCGGTACTTTCTGCTTAGGGGACAGGGTCGCACCACTCCGCTGCTGCTGGCGCTGACCACCACCGTCGCCACTCCTCTGCGCAGGGTCGCGACCCGCACCACCACCGCCGCCTCCGCCGCCGCCGCCACCTCCGCCGCCTCCTCCACCTCCACCTCCTCCGCTACCTCCGCCACCTCCGCTCCCTCCGCCACCTCAACCGCCTTCGCCGCATCCATTGCTGCCGCCGCCGCCGCCACCCCCGGCACCACTCCCACGACCACCCCCACTCCCTCCACTGCCTCCACCACCACCTCCACCGCCCCCTCCAGCCCCTCCAGCACCCTTGCCCCCCTTGCCCTTGCCGGTGTGGCGTCTCCCGCTCGGGGCAGACGCAGCGCCGACCGACTCGAAACCAACGAGGTAGGCCGCTGCAGCAGAGGCAACAGAGGGCAAGAGGGGGGAGGGAGAACACCCTTCGAAGACGGGGGTGCGAGGGTCACCACGAGAGGCTCCTACAGCGACTATGCTCTTCTCTATCGCTAGGAGGGCCTTCTCGAGGAGGTCAACGGTGAGAGTGGTGGGCCAGACTGAGAGGAAGTGGTCCCTGACTACGCGAAGAGAGTCAGGGAGCCGGGTGACTATGTAGTAGAGGGTGATGTACATGGGGGGGGGGGGTTCTTGGCGCACAACTCAGCAGGAAGCGTAGCACGGTAGCGAGTGTCACTAGTGCGGAGGTGCGTAATGAGGTCAGCGACTATGGGAAAGGCAGCAAGGTGAGGGAAGAGGTACGGTAGCATGAGGCGGCTCAGTGCAGCAGTGGCAGGGGAAGAGTAGCGTGCAACTACAGCGTCGTACAAGGTCTGAGCACTCTTGTACTGGCTAAAGTGTGCATGCTCAGTGGTCGGTAAGTGGCGGCGCACAGCAAGGGGAGCAGCAGCATCGCGCGTGGCCCACTGTGAGCAAACAGTGGCGTCAGCATCAGCAGCAGGGGCAGGAGAGGCACCAGAAGTGAGATCAAACAGAGAGAGGCCGTCCGTTCTATCGCACTGAAGAAATAGCTAGAGGTCATCGACCCAGACCTCAAAGTCAACGGCACGGCCCTCAGCATAAAAAGTGAGGACACTGGGGGTAGCCATGACTGCAGTGGCCTAGGAGGAAGTGAGCTCACCAGTTTGAGGAAGGAGGGGCGGGGAGCACCGGTAGGGACAGCAGGTGCTAGACAGTAGGGCAGCTCGGCGGCTCGGCGGCAGGGCGGCTCGGCTGCAGGGTGGCTTGGCTGCTGGGCGGCTCGGCGGCAGGGCGGCTCGGCTGCTGGGCGGCTCGGCGGCAGGGCGGCTCGGCTGCTGGGCGGCTCGGCTGTTGGGCGGCTCGGCTGCTGTGCTGCTCGGCCGCTAGGGTAGGGCGACGGGGCCGCGGGTGGCGGCAGGGCCGCAGATGGCGGCGGGGCCGCAGGTAGCGACTGGGCCGCAGGTGGTGGCGGGGCCGCAGGTGGCGGCGGGGCCGTAGGTGGAGGTGGCGACGGGGCCGCAGGTTGCGACGGGACCGCAGGTGGCGACGGGGCCGCAGGTGACGACGGGGCCGCAGAGGGGCCTGACGGGGCCGTAGCGGGGCAGTAAAGGGGGGGCCAGACGGGGCCGTGAAGGGGCCAGACGGGGCCGCGGAGGGGCCTAGGCGGGGCCGCAACAGGCCTAAAGGGGCCAGACGGGGCCGTGGAGGGGCCTAGGCTAGGCCGCAAAGGGGCCGTAAGGGGCACGACGGGGCCGCAAAGCGGCCTAGGCGGGGCCGTAAGGGGCCAAACAGGGCCGCGGAGGGGCCTAGGCGGGGTCGTAAGGGGCCGTAAGGGGCCAGACGGGGCCGCGGAGGGGCCTAGGCGAGGTCGCAACGGGGCCGTAAAGGGCCTAAGCGGGGCCGTAAGAGGCCAGACGGGGCCGCGGAGGGGCCTAAGCGAGGCCGCGACGGGGCCGTAAGGGGCCTAAGCGGGGCCGTAAGGGGCCAGACAGGGCCGTAAGGGGCCGTAAGGGCGGCGCAAGGGGCCGTAAGGGCGGCCAAAGGGGGGCCACTAAGGGCGGCTCGAAGCGCTACTCGGGTAGGAGCGAAGCGCGCTACGGGCAGGGGAAAAAAAAAAAAAATCGTGGTGGGCCCTAGGCAGCATTCCCACTCGGGAACCTGCTCGATACCATGACGAGAACTGAGAATGGATGAATGAACTATGAAACAGTTGGGTACAAGTACTAACCCTAATTGGGTTGTACCCCTTATGGGCTACCCCACTACAGCCTACACAAATGTTTAAGCTATAATGTTCTGACACATGATGCATGCGGCTGCCCCCCATTTTTTGTGGCCGTTTGCGGTTCAGTACGTCGCGCATCAACTCAACCTTCAGCCCCGGGTCTCCTTGTCAGAGACCTCCCCCGCCTTGCGGTGGACCGGGAAGGTTGGCGATGCGTCTGCGTTTCGGGTCTGGGGATCTCGGGCGTTTGTCCGCGACTTGTCTGCGGACAAGCTGTCCCCCCGTGCTGTTCCTTGCATCTTCCTTGGCTTCCCCCCTGACGCGCCTGGGTGGCAGTTCTACCACCCCACCTCGCGCCGTGTTTTGTCCTCCCAAGACGTCACCTTTGACGAGTCGGTGCCTTACTACCGTCTCTTCCCCTACCGCACTGCGCCCCTCCCCCCGCCGCCGCTCTTCCTTGCACCAGGTCCTCCCCCGGTCGACCCCCTCCCCTCTCAGGGTCCTGCCTCGTCAGGTGTGTCCCAGGTAGATGCAATCGAGCCTGTCTAGGTAGCTGTTGACTCTAGTGCTGCTAGAGGTGCTGAGCCTGCGGGTGCCGGGTCTGGGGGTGCTGAGACCAGGGGTGATGAGCCTGGGGATGCGGAGTCTGGGGGTGCTAAGATTGGGGGTGCTGAGTCTGGGGGTGTTGAGCTTGGGGGTGCTGGGTCTGGGGGTGCGGAGCCTGGGGGTGCGGAGCCTGGAGGTGCGGAGCCCGGGGGTGCCGAGCCTGGGGGCGCTGGGTCTGCTCGTGTGGTCGCGAGCGGTGCTTTGTCAAGGCGGGAGCCACTCTCTCCACAGGAGCTGCGCGAGTGGTTTGCCCGTCGCTGGAGACGTGCTACTGAGACTGGGGTTGCTGCTGGGGCTACTGGAGTTGGTCCTGCTGGAGCTGCTGGCGGTGCTAGTGCTGCTGGAGCAGGAGCAGCTGGGGCTGTTGGCGCTGGTGTTTCTATTGGGGGTGCTGCTGAGGCTGCTGGAGCTGACGGTCCTACTAGAGTTGGTGCTGCTGGAGCTGGAGCTGCTAGGGGTGTTGGCGCTGGCGGTGCTGCTGGCGCTGGTGCTTCTGTAAGTGCTGGAGTTGGCGCTGTTGGAGCTGGAGGTGCTGCTGGCGCTGGTGCTGCCGCTTGGGGTACTGGTGCCGTCCTTGCTGGTTCTGGAGGCGCAGCCGCGGCCGTACTTCGTTCCGCTCCTGGAGCAGGTTCTTGGTCTCCCGCCCTCTACTGGTCCTGCTCCTTCCTTAGAGTGTCCACAGCCTGTCCAGTCGCAGTCACAGTTACAGCCCGCCTCCCCTCTACCTGCTCCTTCTCCCTACACGGGTCCTACTAGAGGTCTTGCTGAGCGTCGTGCGCCTGCGTCTCGTATTGCGTCGCCTGGTCGTGCTGCTCGCACTAGTGGTCGTACTGCGCGTCCGCGTCCTCATTTGGTCCCCGGCACACACCAGATGGCGCTGCGTCCTTCCACTGCTCCTCTGCGTGTCCCGTTGCCGTCTCCTCCAGAGTCCTCTCTTCCTACTCTTGCTGACCCGGAGTCTGACTCCCTTCGTGCTGCTAGTCCTTCGGTCACGCGTCTCCTTGCTACAGTTGTCACTAACCCTTCCTTTGAGTCCACTGCTGCGTCTGCCCTAGTTGCTGAGCTTGTCGACTTCGCTGCTCGCTGTCGTCAAGACTACGCTGCCAGTCTCGTTGCAGAGTCTGAGTCTGTCTGTCCTCCGTCCGTCGGGGGTGAGTGTGCTCTTAGCACGGACGTCCTTGAGGACAGGCAGGAGAAGTTCCAGTGCTTTGTTGCTGCTTTGCCCCATCTGGGATGCACCAGACATCCCGACTCTTCGATCGTACGCTGAGGTGATCGAGAGTCCCTACTCCTCACAGTGGCAGTCAGCCATGGACGCAGAGATGGCTTCCTGGAAGTCCAGAGGCACCTACGTTGACGAGGTTCCCCCACCTGGGGCGAACATCGTCAGTGGCATGTGGATTTTCAGGGTGAAGCGGCCGCCGGGTTCTCCGCCTGTCTTCAAGGCGCGTTACGTGGCTCGAGGCTTCAATCAGCGCCAGGGAGTTGACTACTTTCAGATCTTCTCTCCCACCCCGAAGATGACCACTCTTCGGGTGCTGCTGCACATAGCCGCTCAGCGCGACTACGAGCTTCAATCTCTTGACTTCAGCACAGCTTTCCTACAGGGCAGCCTGCACGAGGAGATCTGGCTGCGCCGCCCACCTGGCTTCACTGGGTCGTTTCCCCCTGGTACCCAGTGGAGCCTCCGGCGGCCAGTCTACGGTCTCCGGCAGGCACCCCGTGAGTGGCACGATACACTGAGGACTACACTTGCGGCTCTTGGGTTAGCTCCTTAAACAGCCGACCCGTCGCTGTTTCTGTGCACCGACACCTCTTTGCCGCCGTTCAACATCCTCGTGTACGTCGACGACTTGGTCTTTGCCAGTGGTGACACTGCTGGACTCGCCCACGTGAAGTCCGAGCTGCAGAAGAGACACACGTGCACAGACCTGGGTGAACTGCGCAGCTACCTTGGCTTGCAGATCACCCGGGACAGAGCACAGCGCACCATTACCCTGACTCAGTCACACATGTTGCAGCAGGTCCTTCAGCCCTTCAGCTTCACGTACTCCTCGCCTCAGGCCACTCCTCTGTCTACTCGCCACTCGCTCTCAGCTCTGCCTTCGGATGAGTCCGTAGAGCCGAGTGGCCCGTACCCAGAGCTTGTTGGCTGCCTCATGTACCTGATGACCTGCACACGACCTGACCTTGCATACCCTCTTAGCATCTTGGCACGCTATGTTACTCCTGGGAGACACCGACCAGAGCACATGGCTGCAGCGAAGAGGGTGTTGCGCTACGTGTGCAGTACGTCGGGCATGGGGCTAGTGCTTGGAGGGCGACTTCGAGTGGTCCTCACAGGTGCCGCTGACGCTTCTTGGGCTGACGACCAGACTCTGCAGCGGTCGTCACAGGGTTACACCTTCAGCCTTGGCTCCGGCTCTGTTTCGTGGCGGTCTACCCGTTCGTCCTCTGTTCTCGGCTCCAGCTGTGAGGCTGAGATCTACGCATGGGCCATGGCTGCACAGGAGCTACGCTGGCTCACCTACCTGTTGACTGACCTAGGAGAGCCGCCTCGTTCTCCTCCAGTTCTGTGCATAGACAACAAGGCCATGCTGGCCTTGTGTCGGGAGCACAGACTGGAGCACAGAACGAAGCACATTGCTCTCCGCTACTTCCTGGCTCGTGAGCTGCAGCAGCGTGGTCAGCTCCGCCTCACCTACGTGGCCTCTGAGGCCAACACTGCTGATATCTTCACTAAGGCGCTTGCGCCTTGTGATCATCAGCGCTTCTGTACTTTGCTAGGTCTTGTGCCTACCTGGCCTCACTTGCTCACTTCTTG